ACTATGGGGAAGATGTGGGTGTCATCGGCTTCTTTGTTTTTGTGGATAAGATCTTTCTGTGTGTGTAATAGGGCTTTAGTGATGTTCCTGTTAATAATATCAAGATGGTACCCCTTAAGAACCAATTGGCGCGCTAATGTGCGGAGCTCCTTATATAGGTGGTGGGAGTCAGATATAAGCCTATTGTATCTGATCGCTTGGCTGTGAATGAGACCTGATGTGATATGATGTGGGTGGTATGAACTGAAATGTAGAAGGCTCATTGTGTCGGTGGGTTTACGGTGAATTGTGCTCTGTATTTTATCTAGATGGTTCTTGTAGAGAGTTAGGTCCATAAAGTCAATGGAAATATCTGAGTGGTTAAAAGTAAATTTAATGGTGGGGTGCAAGTTGTTCATAAATGTCATAACATGTTCGAGATCATCTATAGTGCCTGTGAATATGAAAAAAATGTCATCGATGAATCTTTTGTAGAACGTGATGCTGTCTTTAAATTGTCCAGTGACGGCTTCGTCTAATGTGCCCATAAATATGTTAGCGTATGGTGGTGCCATGCGTGTACCCATCGATGTCCCTGTCATCTGTAAATAGTTGCGGTCGTCAAACTGGAACGTCGTGTTTGTCAGAATGGTGTCAATCATAATCTGTATATACGCTACAGGTGGTGAATTGGGTGGTCTTAGGTCATGTGGTATTTTATTAAAAAGTAGTTTGATGGCTTCTATACCATCCTTATGGGGTATGTTAGTGTACAGGGAGGTAACGTCAGCAGTGACGAAGATGTATTTTTGAGGCGGTAGTGGTTGATTTTGGAGCATGTGAAGAAATTGTGTGGAGTCTCTAAAGTATGATGGAAGTGTTTCGGCTAGTGGTTGTATGAACTTAGTCACAAAATATGAGAGGTGATCTGTGGGACCATCGCAAGCAGATACAATAGGTCGGAGAGGAATTCCAGTTTTGTGTATTTTGGGGAGTCCATAGAACAGGGGAGGGCGACAAGGATTGTTTGGACGTATGTAATTTGCAGTCTTTTCGTCAATCACTCCTTTGAATAAGATGTAATCAATTGTTGATACAACGTTCCGTGCCATTTCTATGGTGGGGTCGTATAGTAGGAGTTTATATGTGGTGTCATCTGCTAGCATGGTGTTAATTTTCTCTTCATAGTCTCTCCTGTTTAAGATGCAGATGCTACCACCTTTGTCAGCTTGCTTGATAATGATATTGTTATTATTTTTCAGTGTTAAGATTGCTTCTTTCATGTTTTTCGTTAGGTTGGGGTGTGCTATGTTTATTCTCTCATTTAGTACTGTGTCTGTTTCACTCTTTATCCTTTCAAAGAAAAGATTTAAATTTGCATTGTTGGATGCAGGAGGGTTCCAGACCGTGTCAAGTTTCCTCTTCATTGGTGTTTGTCGGGGTAGTCCTCCATTGTCCTTAAAATGAACTCTCAGTAGCATATTTCTTTTTAATTTTGATATTGCATCTTTAAATGTCTTTTCCGGAACGTATTGGTCGTTTTGAATAAAACCCAACCCTCTGCTTAATACTTGCCTCTCCGCTTCAGTGAGGTCGTAGTCCGATTTGTTCGTAATCATTCGATTAATCATTTCCGCGGTGGCTCTTGTTTTCTCCACCCTAATCTTATAGTGAAACGATCCTCGGATGTTATGCATATCAAACAAATCTTTCATTGTAATCGGAGTGAATGTCCTTGGTTCATCATTTGGTGTGAAGATTGATCCGTTGTTCTAGAAAGTTATGGAGAAAGTCATTTAGCGTTGCAGGTGGTAAGCTATGGGTGGTTCATCAGTTCAGTGTGTCTATAGGTATATGTACACCCGTAATTAGGTGAGTAGAGAGACAGCCCGCTACTTAGGAATTTAAAAATAACAAGCTTTATTATAACCCATAATAATGTGTGTATAAAAGTAATCTGTGTTACGTCATTAAATATATATGTTATGAAATGTGTGTTATAAAATGTATAGTTGTAATAAAATGAATCGATGCATTCAAGAATTAAAAATTGTGTAATAAATTAAATATATACATCAGACATGTCCTCGCATCGAACCCGGAACCTTAGACACCGCAGGTTGCGCACAATCCACTAAACTATAACAACTTGTATATTACGGACAAAATAACATATATAAACTAAAATAAAACAAGTATAAAAAAATATTATTAGAAAAAAAATATAATATAAATTTAAAATCTAAATTAAAAAACTAAAAAAGTAAATAAAAAGTATAATAAGTGGTGAGGTATGCCACTAAAAAAAGGAGATTGAGACTACAGATGTGAGCATGGTGAGGGCTACAGATGTAGCATGGTGAATCGGCTGGTGATGTCTAGTCGTATGGTCAAATCTAAATGGATAATTGCTCACCCATGTAACACTCTCTCTTGGGTAATTCAAAAGAAAATAATCAAAAAAAGAACAAATATTTGATATACTGATTTTGAAGACCGTTGATGTCTACAGGTGTAATGGTGTAGTGCATTAGTATGTACCGTTTGGTCGTCTAGTATGGTCTCGTTATGTCTTCGTTCACATTAAAATCGGGTGAATAGAAAGCTAAACACACTCACTCCTTGCGCTTATGGGCTAGCACATCAGAGCCAGACGTAAGACCTACAGAATGGATTTCAATTGATCGAATGCACACATTAGTCACCGTAGGCCACAAGCCATCACTCTTAGCCAAAAGAGCTACTGCCCCGTGCTGGTGTGGAATGATGTGCTATGGAGTGAGATTTCAGATCCGAGCACATAGTCAGCGAGCGCTGATCCGACGTGCATTGTGGAGCTTCCGACTGAACGTGTGCGTGAGTGTCAGCGTAGTCATTAGGTTATTGAGCGCCGTAACCACATCCAGCGGGATAGCCTAATGTCCGTTTTGTCGTTGTGACGTACATTGGAAAAAGTCGGGGCTCACCAGCCACAAAGAATAAATTTTTGTTTATGCGACACAATGATCGCAAAAAGTGACCAACGGAGCCGTCCAGTTTTGTAGACCTGAGAGATGTGATAATAAAAACAGTTAGAAGATGGTGTCATTGAATATAAAATAAAAATAATATGAGAATATAAAATGAGTGATAAGACTTTTGTGAAGGTAAAGAACGAAGTAAATGCTCGGAGGCAGGGAGAGAACAAACTAACACTCTAATCACTCTGTATGTAGATCATATGTAACAAAGAACAAATATTTGATATACTGATTTTGAAGACCGTTGATGTCTACAGGTGTAATGGTGTAGTGCATTAGTATGTACCGTTTGGTCGTCTAGTATGGTCTCGTTATGTCTTCGTTCACATTAAAATCGGGTGAATAGAAAGCTAAACACACTCACTTCTTGCGCTTATGGGCTAGCACATCAGAGCCAGACGTAAGACCTACAGAATGGATTTCAATTGATCGAATGCACACATTAGTCACCGTAGGCCACAAGCCATCACTCTTAACCAAAAGAGCTACTGCCCCGTGCTGGTGTGGAATGATGTGCTATGAAGTGAGATTTCAGATCCGAGCACATAGTCAGCGAGCGCTGATCCGACGTGCATTGTGGAGCTTCCGATTGAACGTGTGCGTGAGTGTCAGCGTAGTCATTAGTGTTTGGATTAAAATCAATTTGGTCACAACTTAAAAATGTGATCTGCCAATGTTTAAAATACAAGGACAGAGAATTACTATTGGTGTTAAGAAGAAACTTGTTTAGCTGAAAGAGGAATGAAAATTACTTTTACGATTTGTTGATATGGTACCGAAACAACCACAGCTAGGCTTTGAAGATAGTCTTGGCAAAGAAAAGTTTCCTGTTGTACCAAAATTAATATTTACAGATGACGGACAGCTCTATATTCCCCAGTTAAATACAAAATACTTCATGAGGTAAAGTCGTTATGAAAAGAAAAGCATTCTATCGTGTATAACAATAATATGACAAGCAATACCCAAAGATTAATAGTTATTGAAGGGAATGGCGTTGGTAAACAGAGTTCACAAAGGTGCTCAATTAAAATTGTGGAATTTAAGCCCTCTTTATCATATAAATAACTTCATTAAAATAGACATAACACTTACTAAAATATTTAAACAATTTTTTAAGGTTTAAACATTAAAAGATATATTTAAGATTTAAACATTAAAAGAAAAACTGCTCTTTCTAACTTATCTTAAGTCAGTCTTTTAAAACTAGAACAGGGTTAAAGCAAACATTTCAAAACAATATAAACTATATATTTTCCAATACAGGATATATTAGCAGTTTGTCATTAAAGCATTTGTTATCTATTATAGAAACTAAACGCAACATAATTGTAAACTTGTCAGAATATACTTATGATTACTACTGAAAGATCAAAGAGTATATTTTTTAATTACAAGTGAATTCAAAACAGTAACAAATATCTTCAGTTTCTATATTAGGTTGCTGAACCATAATTACGAAGAGGTGGTCACACTTCTCGTACTCCATACCAATAGTTTTGTAAGATGTAAACCGTTTTTAGAATGCAATGTTTTTTCCCCAAATACCGATCTACTTTTATTGCTAATATTTTCCTGTGAATATCTACCTCTTATTGGGTAAATTGATTTATTTATTGAGTTCAATGTTCTTTTTTTTTTATCTAGGAGCTAACTTAATTAGAATTTTCTATAAAATTATTGTATTTTAATTCTTGGTTATGTCATCGAGTTATATATGCATCACTATCATACACTAAATACATCTAAAATACAATGAATAAACAAATAATGATATTAATGTATTTAAAAGTTTTCTTCGCACAACGGAATGCAAAACATTAGTGTGGCATTATAAAACAAACGTTAAAAGAATATAAATGAAATAAGGAAACACCTTGATTAAATTAAAATTGATAAATATAGTTATGAAGTGATAGTAAACATTACTTAAAAACACATAATATTTACATACTAATTTTATATTTTGCATTTAAATTAGAATAAAGTTTATTATTTCAGTCTTAGATGTTCGTGTAGGATGTGTATTGGGTCATCATTTAGTAACAAAAGAGCTATGGGCAATCCATCGTAATCAAAAATTATATTTATATTTTCATGAAATTTACGAAAAGTGGTTCGCTGTGAGCAATGCAGACAATATAGCTGCAAGTAATTTTAATAAAAGTATGAGAATGAGTTTAGAAGGCGATGAAGATCAAGTTTATACTTTCGGATCATATCAGTGGATGGGTATGATGTTATTATAAAAATGATTTAATTTAAAACAACAACGACTTTATTTAAAACAAAAAGTGCAAATTTTCAAACAATAATGGCTAAACTTGAAGCAACAAAGTCTCAATTGAAAACAACGGCTTTTTTTGAAATATCTAGAGTTTTAATTATTTTAACTTAAATAATAATAAATAATTAAGATAAGTCTTAGCATTTATTTAAATATAGGAAAACGCATTTTTAGCTGTAGTTTATTAATTTGATTTCCAATATTACAGTATCGTCCACATTTGTTTTTGTCGCGTCAAAAATTATTTTCGTCGCGTCCACAATTATTTTCGTTTGTCCATAAATATTTTTAGATCAAAACACTTTATTTTTTTAAATCTTTGAAATCAAGGAAAAAGTATAATTTAATTAATTAAATTCATTACGTTGAATTCCTTTTAACACCCACTCACGCATGTGACAATAATAATTCTCAAAAAAAGCTCGGTAAAACCTGATAAAATCTCAGTTTTATTTCTATTATTTCTTGTGGTTGTATCCCTTTAAAGAAATTTTTAACCACGCCATAAAACTCCTCGATAGGATTAAGTTGAGGACTGTGAGGTGGTAAAAACTGGATAGTACAATTGCTTTCTCGAAATACCAATTTTACTTCTGATGAATAGTGGAATTGCGCATTATCCATTACTACAACATATCTGCGATCACTTAAAACTGGTCTTAAGTCTTGTTCTATCCAGTCGTGCATGCCAGTGGCATTTAAGGCTCCAATCTTTAGTTTAAATCCAATACATCCTGTAACTGAAATAGCGCATAATAGGTTAACATTTCTTCCTCTCTGTTTGGGCTCTGTAACATGCGGGGTGCTTCCTAAAAATGCATATCTATAATGTCGTGAATCATGCAGATTGAACCCGGTTTCATCAATATAGACCAAATCTAAATTTTGCAGAAAAGAAAAATGATTGCAAAACATAAACCTCGTTGCTATTACTTGAGCTGAATTTCTTTCAACAACGATCGATTTAAGTCTTTTACGGGTATATCCCATTTGTTTTAATTCTCTTTTGATTGTAGTTATCGAGGATTTATGTTCTTCTAGCATTAATTCTGCAATGTCAATAGTAGTTAATGCATTATTTGCATTAATTAATAACTCGATTTCTCTCTTTCTTTCAAAATTACTTCGTGCAGCTCTGCCATATTTTTTTGGTATTATATTTAGTTCTGTATTGTCCTAATTGAAAAACCTGTTGCATTTGCAATAGATCAACTTGATTCGTTGCCAATCAACATTCTTTTTATTGTAGCAACATTTTCTTCCATTGCTGTTTTGATTTTTGTTTGTTCAGCCATTTCGATATTTGGATTATTGAGGCTGGTATTGTTGTTGTTAGTCATTATGGCTTAAAGTGTTTTGATTTAAAAATAATTATAGACAAACGAAAATAGTTGTGGACGTGACAGAAATAACTGTGAAAGATACTGTAATTTACTAATCTATTAATGTATTTATCACCAAAACCAAATTATGCTACAAATAAATACGTTATATAAATATACAAGTGAATCTATAATATTTAGGCTTCTCAATTAAAAATCTAATTAAAAAAAATTAATCATTTAACACAACTTTGGTTTTATTTGAAACTAACAAACAATCAAAAATTATATTTTAAGGACAGAATTTTTATTTTTTACTTTTTTCAAATCTTTATCCTTTTATTTATCATTTTACTCTAAAAGTTTACGTTTAGAGAATTCGGATAGTAGGTCTTTATGAAATTCGAAAAATACTCTATTATTGTAGAGGTAATTCGTTTTATGAATTTTAAAAAGTTAAATTTAAAAATTATTAACATTTTTTAGTAAGCAGGCATAGAAAATAGTATATATATATATATATATATATTATATATATATATATATATATATATATATTATATATATATATATATATATATATATATATATATATATATATAATATATATATACATATATATATATATATATATATATATATATATATATATATATACATATATATATATATATATATATATTATATATACATATATATATATATATATATATATATATATATATATATATATATATATATATATATATATATTATATATATATATATATATATATATATTATATATATATATATATATATATATATATATATATATATATATATATATATATATATATATATATGTATGTATATATATATATTGATTTAAAAATAATTATAGACAAACGAAAATAGTTGTGGACGTGACAGAAATAATTGTGAACGATACTGTAATTTACTAATCTATTAATGTATTTATCACCAAAACCAAATTATGCTACATATAAATACGTTATATAAATATACAAGTGAATCTATAATATTTAGGCTTCTCAATTAAAAATCTAATTAAAAAAAATTAATCCTTTAACACAACTTTGGTTTTATTTGAAACTAACAAACAATCAAAAATTATATTTTAAGGACAGAATTTTTATTTTTTACTTTTTTCAAATCTTTATCCTTTTATTTATCATTTTACTCTAAAAGTTTACGTTTAGAGAATTCGGATAGTAGGTCTTTATGAAATTCGAAAAATACTCTATTATTGTAGAGGTAATTCGTTTTATGAATTTTAAAAAGTTAAATTTAAAAATTATTAACATTTTTTAGTAAGCAGGCATAGAAAATAAATATATATATATATATATATATATATATATATATATATATATATATATATATATATATATATATATATTATATATAATATATATATATATATATATATGTATATATATATATATATATATATATATATATATATATATATATATATATATATTATATATATATATATGTATGTATATATATATATATATAGATATATATACATATATACATATTTAATAAATATATATTATTTAATAATATATATATATTTATATATATATATATATATATATATATATATATTATATATATATATATATATATATATATATATATATATATATATATATATATATATATCAATTATTTGTGCGCTGTTTTGTTATTATATCTATTAAAATCAAAAGTGAAAAAATTATGTTTAAAAGTTTATTTTCGAGCTCTTTTTGTTCCATGGATTAAAAATAATTTGTAATAATTTAATGTTTACAGGTTGCTCTCATACATTTACATTATATTTAGGAAACTCCGAAGGATTGTTTTATCGCAATAATTCATTGAGCTCATGGTTGCAAAAAATCCGCTGGACTCGTTAAACATTTTATTTTATAAATTTTTCAAGTCAAGTTGCTCTACAACGAAGTTAGTCTAATCTAGGACATTGGAAGGCGAATCTAATCTAAATAAAATATATTTAAGAAGTTATTAAACGAAAGTTTGATTTCACTGATACAAAAAAATGTTAATAAATCAATTTTGTTGCATGCTGATAAGTTATTTTGTATATGATTTTAATTTTATTAAAATTTGTTCCAATAAATATACTGTTTACAATATTTTTATTATCACTGTACTAAAAATAAATGAATAGATAATATTTATAATACAGTTTTCTGTCCCAGAGTTTTCACTAAACATCTTTTAATGTTAATCTTTTAATATTCATTTCCTGTTGGGAAATGGGCAAACTGCTATTTACAAACTAGCTTTTTAGTAACTTACTCCCGATCTTTAGGCAGAGAAAAAAATTTGCTTTTTAAGTTTAATAGTTTGAAAGTTCCTGGGCGAAATCTTGTTTCAATGGCATTAAGAGGATTGTCAATGCTGAGCTCCAGACGTCGACGTACTTTAAAAAATAATATATGAATCAACTATGAAAATATGGTTAGGACTCTTCCAAAAAAACAACTACTTAACAATTGAAAAAAAATATACAATATGGGGTCTTCCACGAAGCACAAACTCATGTTTAAGAGCGGAAGATAACTAAAAACGTAAAAATGCGTTAAAATAGGGAAGGGCTGCTAAAGAAGTGCAGTTTGACTATTATTGAGTAAGAATGGGGAAATTGGTTGTTAAAAAAATACAGTTGCCCATAATTGGGGGATGGAGGGGGGTTGTATTTAATTGGTTTTAGAGCGTACGCACTTTATGGATGCCTCCTATAATGGTCCAATTTTAGTTAAAGTGTTTTCCAAAATATTGATTTATAACTATAAAACCTACAAAGAGTTTATTGACACGCTAACTTCAGCAATCTATATCAATTAAACTTTTCGATTATTTTTAAAAGAGCTTGATTATTAATACAAAAGAATCTTATTCATTTTTTTTTTACTATTGTATTTCAATCTTTTTTGAAAAAATTTGAAGTAGCTCATAAAATAAATAAATTAAATTCAAAAGTTGAATATGGATTAAACGAAAAAAAGCTGACATCTCTTTTGCATTTTTGTTAAAGAAAAACGTAAGAAAGATAAATTTAACATTATGATGGTTTACAAATCTGGCTGTTCAAAAAGTGCAATAAAAATTCGGAAAGAGACCATAAAATGTGTATACTTTAAATTCAATCAATGAGCTGGATGGAAAAGATAATGTGTATGGCAAAGCAGCAGTTAGTTCTTTCACTAAGAAAATAAAATAGAGAATATAGAACAAGACTTTTTCCAAGAAAATCAAATTGAGGGGTGCAATAAAAGTTTTATGAAAATATGAATGTAAATGATTCAAAAGCACAGTTTTTAAATGAATCAGTTTTTTTTAATTCAACATGGTAGAATTAACTTTAATTGCCTTATACTAAAAAGATGCTTTTGTTACCCATTTTTATGAATAAGCATGCAAGCTTTGGTCTATTTCTCATTTGAATCTTAGATAATATAGATGAGAAATAGACCAGGTGTGATTTTATTGCATATGACAAAAAGACCAAATGTGATTTAGTCGTAATTGAGAAATAGACCAAAGTGATTTCACTGTATTTGAGAAGTAGACCAAAGATGATTTTACTGTATTTGAGAAAGAGGCCAAAAAACTTTAATGAAAAAAACTCTTTTTTAACGTTACTTGTCTACAGAAAAAGAAAAAGATTTCAATTTATACAGTGCAATTTATACTTGTATTCATCTATTTATGTCATTACCAAGTAATTCTAAAATTATTATGTTAGTAGTGCATTCATCTATTAGATTTTGATTTGCAGACGATGTGTTTATTATTTATAAATAGAAGTGAATCTAACTCTTTTTCTATATGAATACATACACACACACGCACACACACACACATACACACACACACACATATATATATATATATATATATATATATATATATATATATATATATATATATATATTATATATATAATATATATATATATATATATATATGTATGTATATAATCATATATATACATATATATATATATATATATGTATATATATATATATATATATATATATATATATATATATATATATATATATATATATATATATATATATATATATATACGTACATATATATATAACAAGGGCGGATCTAGGATTTTATATAGGTGTAGCTAAAATTTGTAAAATTGCGTCATAATTGCAACTATTTAATAATTTGGTTAGTCTACGTCAAAAAGACGTCCGACAATTACGTCATGTAGACGCCGCCAGACTGTTTTTTTATCTGAGCGTTTTTAATTCAGTTTTTGCACACATATTTTTTTCATTTATTTTTAATGGATTCTAGTAAAATAATTAATGGTAAAATGTAAAATTTGCCTTGGCTATTCTGTTCGTAATTTAGAAATGTCTAATTTACTTAACGAAGTTATTGCACCAACTAGAGGGTAAGCCATAGGACTTTGCACTCCATATGTAAGTTGTTATGCTGCCTAAAGTTAGTTCTCCAATTCTGGATTCTTTCCTTTATATTTTTGTTACTAATAGAATAAATGCAACTATCACTGCATTAACAATATGATATCGTGATTTATTTAAAAGATATTTACTTTAAAGTTGTATATTACTATATATAAATATATATTAAAAAAAAAAGATTTGAACAGTCTCACTATCTATAGAATCCTCAGGAAGCTAATTTATAACATCTTTGTTTTTTATGATTATCGAGCACTCTTTTTGTAACATACTCAAACAAAATTAACACACAATTAAATTTTTTATTTAGTGGTTTACATTATTTAGCTTAGAACAATTTTTAAAACATTTTACATTTTAGATGTCAAGGATTATGAAATGTACACAAAATAGAAAATAAATTTACTTATTAAACATTTATAAAAAATAAAAAAAGATGCTCTAAGAATAAATTAAACAATGAAAAAAACAAAAAAATGATTGTAAATATAAGAGAGATTTAACTATTTTATTCACATAAAAGTATAATTATTATTTAATCATAGCCAATTATTTAAGGCTTAAATAGCAACTTTAAATATCTCTCTCTATAAGCTGAAAAATTTTTGTTAAACCCGTCTTTATCAAGAGCCATTTCAGTATAAATATAAAAAGCTAGGTCATTCAATGACTTTTTTAATACTCTACTTCTTGAATAAGTTTTTAATCGCTTGGTATTGTACCGAGAATTAAACCTTTAAAATATTCAAGAATGTTGGGGAAATTAGTCATTGTCATGAATTTCGTCTATAAATTACTAGATAGGGGTTTTGACTGATCTTTTTAAAGAGGCTTCCATAATCCAACTCTGCATAAAGGTTGAATGCAGAGTTGGAATGATAGATATCTAGAAATTCCTGAAAGATTTGCAAATCTTAGTTAGTTTTCAGGTAGCTTAACATGACAGTTGGAACTGCAAACATCCCATATAAACCAACTTGTTTTCTGTTTGAAATCTTATATAATTAATAAGTTCATTAACAAGATGGTCCAGTAGAGGTAAAGTGATGGAAAGCTTAAAATAATCAGATGATGAGTGATTATCATAATTGATTTGCTTTCCACATTTTCTAGTTTTTTTATTTGTTTACATTTAAAGTAAGAGCTAATTCAAAAGCAATATTAGAGCAGTTGTAGCGACATAAAAAATTCAACCCATCAAATGTTGGTTATAACTAAAGTTACATCTAAATAAAATTCAAACATCAACTATGAGGAGACTAAAAGAAAAATACTTAGACTTTTCTGTTTTCAAACCCAACAAGTAAAACAAACATTGATTATCTTTGCTTTTTCAACAGAAAGATAATTATTAAAACATGCCTGTATTTTCCGACTATTTTTACGAGTATTATAGTTATTCTCTATATATATACGATAGACTACTGTTTAAGATTGGCACAATCAGATGCTATATCAGCTAAAACTGAATAGTATTTACTATTATTGATTTCAGAAATAAGAATCTTCTCAAAAGCCTCTCTACAACACTCCATAAGTTGATTTTGTGCGGTTTAAGAAATAATGTAACATTTTTAGGGACAGATATTAAATGATTTTATAAGATAGTGTCAACTGCATAAATTCTGAAATTAAATAGTTCAAAAACATTTCCTCCAACTCTTTCTTGAGGACTCTCTTCAAGAGAGTTCTTTTGATTCCGGTTTTTTTTAATCGCTTTTTTAATTCCGGTTTTTTTTAATTGCTTTTTAAGCCGCAAATAAAAATGATTATTTATATTATTTTTATTTTGAAAACATGTCAAAGTAGTATACTGTTTTTTACTTCGTTGATTATTCTAAGGTGTAGCCTTAGCCACAACGGCTATACCCTAGATCCGCGCCTGATATATATATATATATATATATATATATATATATATATATATATATATATATATATATATATATATATATATATATATATATATATATATATATATACACACACACATATTATATATATATATATATATATATATATATATATATATATATATATATATATATATATATATATATATATATATATATATATATATTCACAAAAAGGTATTATATATCCTTTTTGTAATGAGTGACCCGCATTGCGGGTGAAAAAATTCGGTTCGTAGCCAATGAGTACCCGACATGAAGGTTCACTGACAATTTTGAATATTCCTTAACATTTATAGTAATTGGGGAAAACTTTAAACATATCTGAAATCATGATTATTCAAACCGTTTGTTAATTGCATTTATAGACCATTCAAAAATTGGTTTTGAAAGATTAAAATTTAGAATTTGAAACGTTACAAAAGGGGTATTATATTTCCTTTTTGTGATGAATGACTCGCATTGCGGTTAAAAGACTCTGTTACTATCCACTAAACATTATGCATTAAGTTTCATTGAAAAATTTTATTCTTCTTAACATTTATAGCAATTGGGGAAAACTTTAAATATATCTGAAATGGAAATGATTTCTTGAGTTGATGATTTACACTTTTTATTGCATTTATGGACCACTCAAAAATCAATTCCGAAAGACAAGAATTTAGAACAAGTTAAACTGATATAAAGAAGAATCTTGATGTTTATCTTTTGAAGATAGTGGTGTAAATAGCAATAA